TTGGATCTGGCTGCTGTGCTCCACTTCTTTCTGCTGCAGGCGTTAGAGTTGAACCCTTTGTGTCACTCTGGCAAGATATTCTGTTCCTGAATCAGCTGAGTGGGTCTTGCCTCTAACCTCTTTGCAGGGAGTTCTGCTGAAGGGTTTCGTGCTGGGCCTGCACTCAGGGTCTATTCAGGATCCCAAGGCCCTGGTCATCTCAGTCACTCGCCCTCTATTTCTTTTAATTGGTGAATTGAGTCCATTTACATTGATGGTTATAATTGAGATGAATTGACTTACGATTGAGATATTATTTACCTGGTGATGTCTTTTTTTTCCTCCTGTATTCAATTATTTGCCATATTTAGTGGGTTCCTTTTGTTCTGGTTAGTGCATTTCTGATCATTTTGGTCTTTTGTCCCGACCCGCGCGGGTTAGTCATCAAGGACCCTAGAGGGGGAGTGGGGATGGGAAGGGACAGGAAACACAAAGAATGGAGAGAAGACAAGTTCTGATCAAGTCTCATTTATTTAAGGGAGGTGCTGGGTATATAAAGGGTGTAGGAATGAAGAAGTTTCTGCTCTTGAAGTCAGCAGGTATCCAGGCAACAGAAGAAGGTCCCACCCCCGGAGCATAGGCAAATAGGCAGGGGACTTAGGCAAATAGGTAGTGTAAGAGGGAATAGAAGCTTAACTCAGGAGAACAATAAAAACTTAAAAGTATGGCTGACACTATTATAAAATGGATACCAGTCACAGGGTTCCCACAGTCCTTCTCTAGAACATCTATCTTTTAGTAGTCTGGGTAGGGTTGGCTTTGTCATCATGAAATTTTTTAATTGTTCTTTGTTGTGGAAGTATTTCACTTCTCTATCAGACTTGAGAGTTTTGCAGAGTATAGTAGTCTGGGCTGGAATTTTTTTCATAGAGAAGTTGAAGTACTCTGCTCCATGTTGTTCTTGCCTTCATGGTTTGTGAAGAGAAGTCTCCCGTAATTCTGATGGGTTTTCTTTTAAACGTGATCTGTTTCTTTTCTCTAGTGGCTTTCAGTATATTGTTCTTGTGCTGGATTTCTGGGATCTTGACTATTATATGTCTCGGTGTGTTTTTAATTGGATTGAAGTTATTTGGAGTTCTGTATGCTTCGGTTACTGAATGTGAGATTGTTTCCTCACATTTGGGGAGTTTTCTGCTATTACTTCTGCCCATATTCTTTTTATATCATTTGTATTGACTCCTTTCTCATTGGTGCCTATTAGTCTCACATTGTTCATCTTTCATCATCTTGCAGGTGATGAATTACTTTTTTCTGCATCCTAGTTGTTTTTAAGAGATCTTTTCTTACCTTTTCACTAGTTTCAATGGCACCTTCAAGATCTGAAACTCTATCTTCACTTTCAGAGGGTTTTGCAAGCTAGTGATTGAAATTTTAAGTTCCTCTGTATCTCCTTGACTCTGCTTCATCCGATGTATTTATTTCCTGTATTGCACATTCCAGGAATCCATCGTTTTTCTAATCTCCTCTATTTTTTTTTATCAGTGTCTTCTTTAGAAGCAGTTATTATTTCTATTACTATAGAGATTATTTCTGATCTAATTTCCTCCATATGTTTTTGCATTTGATTCTTTAGTTCAGATGTTATTAATTCAGAGATTTCTTTTTTTATTTCAGAGGTTATTTCTGATCTGAGTTCCTCTATACATTTCTGCCATTGTTTCTTTACTTCAGATGCTATTGATTCAGACATTTCAGCTGTGTGATTCCCAATTTCTTCTGTACTAGTGTCCTCTGCACTTGTTCTGGGTGGGATTGGGATCTGAGATTGCATTTTGCCCCTTCTCTTTGTCATTTTGTATAGCACTGCCCTCTGACCTTTGTTGTATAACTTTGGTGCAGTTATAACCTTAGCACCTACTGGTATTCGGGTGCAGATCTACGAAGTTTGAGTTCATCCAGTTATGCCTGGCTTGGGTCTGGCTACTGTGCTCTGCTCCTTCCTGCTGCAGCCCTTAGAAGTGAAGCTCGTGCCCCTCTGGCAAGATGTTCTGCTTCTGTATTAGCTGAGTGGTTTTGGCTCCTACTCTCTCTACAGGGACCTTAGCCACAGAGTTGCACCTCAGGCCTGTATGCCAGGTCTGGGCTGGGTCTGGAGGGTACCAGTGGGCACAGGGGTGCAGGGAAGCTCTCCCACACACTTGCAGGGCCTGGGCTTGGACTGGGTCTGGAGGGGTGGAGGGGTTCAGAGAGTGTGGTGGAAGGTCTCACTTAGGAGGCGGGCCAGGGTTGGATCTGGAGAAGTCCAGGGCGTGCAGCAGAGCACGGAAGCTCTCCCACACCCTCCCCAGGACTGGGCTTGGGCTGGCACCAGAAGGGTGGAGGGCTCCCAAGGGTGCACTGGAAGTCTCACTCACACTGGGCCCTGGGCTGGTTCCGAACAGTAGAGGAGTCCCGAGATTGCCCTGGAAGTCTCACTCACGTGGCAAGCCTGGGATGGATTCTTTTTTTTTTTTTTAAGTGATCACTATAGTTCTGTTTTAAAATTTACCTTGCAAGTAATGTAGAAGTTGGATGTCATAATGCATACCTGTAGCTGCTGAGTTTGAGCCCCGCATGCGTGACTTAGCAAGACCCAATCTCAAAATAAAAATAAAAAGGCTGGATATGTAGTTCAGTGCAGAGCCCCTGAGAAAGAAATGTATACAGAAGGGCATGCATTCTTACGAGAAAAAATATATAATGATCATCTATATAAATTACCATCCAACATAAATAGCACATTGCTAGACTGGGTATGTGGCTCAATAGTAGAGTTCTTACCTTGCCTGCGCAAGGCCCAGGGTTTAATCCCCAGCATAGGAAGGAAGGGAGGGAGGAAAGTAGGAAGGAGGGAGAGAGGGAGGAAGAGAGGAAGAGAGGAAGAGGCGAGAAAGAAAGAGCACATTGCTAGTGCTGTTGAAGCCCCTGTCTGCCCTTTCCCCATTCTCTACCTTAGCAGTCACTAATCCAAAATTCGTATATATTAGCTCATCACTATTTTTTTAACCACAACTGTGTTAAATGTATTTAACAAATCTGTTTTGACTGGAAAAAAAAGAAAAAGCAGTCTGTGCTAATGTATGTGGCTAAATCTGCTATCTTTTTCAGTGCTTATGGTATTAGTACTCCATGAATATACCAGTTTGTTTTTTCTTCTTCACATTGCTATATGTTCAGGTTATTTTCATTTTTTCTGCAGTTCTTCACAGTTCAGTGAACATTGTATGTCTCCTGATAAACATTAGATAAAAATTTCTGGAATATACTGTATCTAGAAATGAAATTGCTAGAGTATAGAATATGCATTTTTCTAAATTCATGAAATCACTGGAAATGATTTACAAATTGATTTTTTTCCTGCTTTATACTCAAAACAGCAGAATGTTAAGAGTTTCCATAATAATGTTTTTTTCATTAAAAGTTTTTGTTGGATTATTTTCACAGTGGTTGTGTCCAGGTTTATACAATAGATAACACCACTGGAGCCATGCTGCTGTCTCATAAATTGGAGCTAACAGCAAAACAGTATCCTGGTGAGTATTCTTTTTAAGTGTTTTTTTTAATGTGGTTTCTCTCCCATGGATGTCTGAAACCATGGATAATACTTCACCCTCTATACACTGTGTACCTACATAGTAAGAACTAATTATAGTATGTACAATAATGAAAGTTATAGGAATGTAATCTTTTTTCCTTTCTCCTTCAAATTTTTGTTTTGGGGGGAGCATATAGGTTCTTTGTACACTATGCCTGGATTTTATTGAATGCTGTAAGATGTTGCCACTTAGTACCAGAGTTAGTTTGTATGTTCTCTGCCTAGTGCCTCCTTTGCATTTTTATGAATATAGATTCTATTGGGCTTCTTATTGCAGAAGCTTTGCTAATTTCATTGCTTTGAATAGTGTCCTTATCCTTGATCAGTTTATTCAAGGTCAGAAGTGTGGCAGAAACTTCTTCAATGGCAGATACAGTGCCTCCAATAATTTTTATATTTTTTTAGTCCAGACCTGTTCACAATCTGTAAATCCTCTCTTGTAATAATGACTTCTTATAATTTATTTCAGGAATCCTTGCTAGTCTCTTACAAGGTCCATGCTTTCTGGTGCAGTACTTTGCCACTGACTAATGTGTTTTCTGTTCATGCTTTCCACCCACAGATTTGTTAATACTTTCCTGTCTTAACAGTGTATTTATCATGCTGTAGCCATAAGTTTTGCAGTTTAAAGTGCAACAGCAAAACTAACAAGTCCCTTTTTTCACCAGTTTCACTGATAGAAAATTCATTTTTGTTACAGAACTTTGAAACCTCAGCATACAATTATTTTTATTTCCTTCGTTACTTGTATCTTTTCTCTGGCTTATCTTAGTGTATCTGAATTGCTAGCATCACTGCTCTGATGCTTTGGGGCCACTATTAAGTAACATCAGGGTTAGCAGGAAGCAAGCACTGAGAGACTGCAATAGTCAGCCTGATAACTGAGATGGCTGCTAACTGACTAATGGGTAGGGAGTGCAGCCAGCAGGGCTACAGGAGACTCTCTAAGCAGGACAAAGCTCAGTTTCACCCTGCTTCTCATAATGGTGTTTATGTTAAAATTTATGAATTGTTTATGTCTTGAATTTTGCCATTAATACTTTCAAGCCACAGTTGACCTCAAGTAACAAAGTACAGAAAGTAGAACCACTGATATTGGGGACGATTATACTAGTCATGTAATGTGTAACGGATGCTGCGTTTAAATTAAATGATGCATGCTATAAGTAAAGATTGTTAGAACATACAAGATTTTATAACTAAAAGATTTCTATGTGACTAGAGAAGCTGTGCAGTTTTTAAAAATCTGCTCATTTAGGCTTTTTTTTTTTTTTTTTCCGTAGTTTTAAGCCCTGCATTCCTGATTTAGAACCTTGCTGTAATCTCTTAATTGATTTCATTCTTTGTTATTTTATGTCTTTCAATTCAATTTAACAAGTACTTTTTGAACACCAATGTGCTAAACACTGTTCTAAATGCTGGATTCACAAGAACAAACAAAAACATTTTTAACCCTTTAATAAAACTCCGCTGTTCACAGGATTGTCTAAATTCTTTGTCATTAGAAGCTTTTGACTGAACTAACAGAAAACCCAACTTACAGTGGCTTAAACAAATAAGATTTATTTTTTCAAAGCAAGAAATCTAAAGGCTGCTTCTGACCTTCATTTAACCCTTTCTTTATGATCCAAGATAACTCCTGAGTTCCAAGAGTTATTTAGGCATTTCAGTCAAAAAGAAGGGAGGGGGGCTGGGAAGATAGCTTGGTGCTCTAAGATCCTGCCTGGCAAGCACAAGGACCCCAGTGTGGTCCCCAGTACCACATGCCATGCTGGTCCCAGGACCCTGGGCACACCATCCACCAAAACTGGGGTTGGTGGCGCATGCCTGTAATCCCAGCACTGGGAAGGCTCAGGTAGTCAGATCACTATGAGTCTGAACTGTGTAGTAAGACTGTACCAAATAAATTAAAAAGGAAAAAAAAATTTTTAAAGGGAGGAAGCATGGCACATCTGATTTTTTTTTTTTTTTTTTTTTAAGAACAGTAGAAACATTTCCAGATGGATCCCTGTATCCGATCTGCTCTGGTTATCTTCTACTTCCATATAATTGGAATTAAATATGTCATATGGCTACAGTGGGCTTCAAGCAAAGTTGGAAATGATAGCTTTTCAAGTCATTCATATCAGAGAGGAGCAAAATACAAAGAAGAAAAAAACAGGCATTACCTGATCCAGCCAACACTATCTTTCACATAGATGACATATAAGGCCTTTTGCCAAATCCTCCTGTCATGGTTTCTTGATTCTGCTATTTCTGCAATTTTTATGTAATGCACTTAAGATACAAGAAACACCAATTGTTCTGTTTATTAAAGACTTATATTTGCTTAGATCCTTAATCTATGTCCTAGCAACCTAGTAACATGTTCTAATAAGTAGCTATAAGTGGAAACAAAGTATTTTAATCTCATGCTTAAACGTTGTTTTTTTGTTTTTACTACTGGAATGTGTATGCTGAATGGACACTGAGTTAGATTAGACACAGCCACACACATTGCTGATTTCATGTGGATTTTTCATAGGGCACATTTTAGCACAGCAGCTCCTGAAGAGTCATCTTCACAAAGCTGTAACATCAAATGAATTGCACTTGTAAATTGCTTGCAGCTAGTCATTTACATTGTGTCCAACACATGTAGTGTAGCACTATGTTTTTCTCAAATTATCTCTTGACACTCCCTAAGTTTTCTGCCTTGTTATATCTTGGCACACACATTGAGAACTGTAGTCTTAAGTTTTACTGAGCTTTACTAAATTATAATACATGTAGATCCTTGAATATCTCCATATTGCTTGATTCCTCTTTCTCATGCTTTTCTCTCTTCCTAAAAGTCTTATTTCTACATGTATATTTACATTTCAGTAGCTACCTCAAGCTAAGTCTCTTTCATCTAGTTAAAATACCATTCCCTTCTATACTCCATTGTACTCTGCATAGAATATCTTTCTTAGTATGTGTAATGCTTTATTGAATTGACTAGCTTCCAGATCTTTCTTTTTCCCCTCCTAGACTTTAATCCTTGAGTATACAGTGGTTCCCATCTCTTTACATAAAGCTAGTCCATCTTATGAGAAGCATATAATAGGTATATGATGAATCCATGTTTTAAATTAAGGTCAGTGACTTTCCAGAGTTGTAAGAACAGTATAATCTCATATGTTATAGGAACTTGTATTGATATTGCCTATATCTGCATTAGTAGTGATTGGAAACCTTTTATCCTCTTCATAGATTTAGATGTGTTCTTATATTAAGAATGTTTGGGGGCTGGTGAGATGGCTCAACGGTCTAAGGCGCCTACTTAGAAAAAGCTTAGCAAAGCACAGGGACCGTGGTTCAATCCCCCAGCACCACATGCCAGCCAGCCCTGCCCCCTGGTGGGCTGAGCTGGCCACACACACACACACA